TACTCGTTTGCATACTGAAAATTTGAAGAAAATTTGAGTATGCAAAAAACCCTGCTTAAATGTGATTTTTTTCTTATAAGCAGTCTTTTATGCACAAACCCGATAAGGATTCCGATAAGAAAATCTTGTTCAGATAAGCACTAAGAATTTACACAATATTTCCGATTAGCATGGAAGATCTGCATACAAACGAATAATAAAGAACTATAATTTAAAGATTATTAACGCTACATTTTTGCAAACAATACCTTGGACACATTTTGTCTGATCAAAGACGAGATATTTTTGGTTCTCTAGCTTAAAATTGGATATTTTTCAATTGTGAAAAAATTAATAAAAAGAATTTAAAAGTTATCCAGATAATGTAAAACGGCGAAAGCTTCTTATTGTTATTCAGATAAAGCTTCAAAGGATACCATTATTTTGAATGGGACATATCACTATAATTGGATGGTCACGTTTTACAGTTTTAGGCTGTACCGTACGTATTATTGAGAATTAATAATAATATTATAGAGGACGTGAGTCAGACTCTAATAAAAACGCATAAATAACTTCCAGTATATATATTTCTTATAACTTATTACTAGAGGGTTCAGAACTAGAGTCAATATCGATATCACACGTGTAGATGTTTTATCAGTACAATGCCCCGTATCCGTTCTATCTCATTCTGTTGAATCTTGTGGAACTTGTTTAACGCGGCCAGGCATCGTCTTCCACAATATATTGTAAAATCCATTGATATCTTCATAAAGAATCTAAAGAAAAATACAGTTTCTTTATTTTATGTATATAGAAATAAAAAATTGAAATTTTATTTCCCCTTACTGTCTTTTATTTTGATCAAATATAAAAGTAATTTATGCATTTGAGGAAATGTCAGTTTAAACTTAAATGATTTAAAATGTTATTGTAAAAGCGAAAAAAAACATGTTTATAACAAATCCTGCTATATTCAATTTAAAGAATCATTTTCAAGGTTTTGAACCAAAGTTCTCAAAAGCTCAGCATTATAGAAATTTCATATTAGTTATGATGTAATCAGAGCTATGTACGTTGCACGATCCAATACGATGTGTGATATTCTGTACCCAAGTAACAAAAGTTACTCGAGAATCATTTCCTGTAACTGATTCCTCGGAAATTCTCGAGAAATTCCCCAGAATTGGTCCCCAAGATAAGAGATTTTTGGGGGATCACAGTTTTGAGACTCAGTTTCGAGAAATTCCTGAGAAATTATTTGGAATTTTTCTTTACAAAATTCCTCAGAATTTCTTCGGAATACTTCTCCGGAAATTCCTGAGAAATTCTTTAGACTTGGTCACCAATTTTACGGATTTTTACGGGAATTAAATAAAATTTCTCTGGAACTTTTCATAAGAAATTCTCAGGACTTCATCACAGAATTTTCAAGTTCTGGTTATCTCCAATAGGTGTCTCTGAAGTTCTCTTCTATTATGCACTGCCCTAACTAAATCTTTTTTTCTTTGCATCCTTATTGATAGAAAATGATAATTTGCTTTAGAACCATCTTTAAAAAAAATATTTGAATTTTTTAAAATTTTTTTTCTAGTTGTCTGAATAAATAAAATACATGACAACTTTAGTAAGGTCAAAAACAACTCTAACGTTCTGACTTAAGAAGTTGGTTATACTTCAAAAAAGTTGGAGTGAATTTACTCAGGAATATGCTGAGGATTCTTTGGAAATTCCCAAGAATTTCCACAAATTTTGTCGACATTTTCTCCTGTTTTTCTGCAAAATTGGTAACAAGAAATTCCCTTGAATTGGTTACAAGAATTTCCTTGGATAGAGTTATGATAATTTTCTGGGAATGGGTTACAAGAAATTCCTCGGACCTGATTCTTCGGAATGGGTAACAAGAAATTCCTCGGAATAGCTGTCGACATTTTTACCGGATTTTCCTGTGAAAGATTCCTGGGAATTTTCGCAGATTCCCAGGAAAGATTCCCGGGAATTTCTGCAGATTTTCCTCAAAATTGTTACTTGGTAGGATTTGTTAAAATACTTCATCAATGAACTAGATAATGGAAAATGATTTTAAAAAGTGTACTCAGATTTTCAGTTGAGGCTTTTACTGTCTCCTATATAACGAACTAGTTGGGAAATTCAGCTCATGCCTCATGTCTAGAAACAAAAGTTTCCCTGTTAAAGTCGACAAAATAAGCTCAGAATTTTTTATTCAAAGTTCTTCAATCATAATTTAAGGTAAATCGATAAAAAAGGTTCAAAAGTTTTAATCGGACACACATAAAAACAATTAATTAAGTAATAATAATTACTTTATGTTAAAATATTCAAAATGGAAATATCAAAGGTTAATTTTTTAGGTTAAAAAGTTATCGTGATCTGTTTACGATTAGTTTTGTATAGATAAATAATATATTAGTCATTTGTATCCAACTGTCCACGATACCCTTTCGAAACTTTAGAATAAAAAAAAACTCAAAGCCCCGTACTTTATTTGTTTAAATACGTTAAAGGTTTATTTCTTGATGACATTTATAAAGCAATCTTGAATTTAAAAGGTTTTCAAATTTAAGGATGTTTTAAATGTATTTATTCAAATCAATTTTTATTTGTTTAGTGTTTGCAAAATAGTTTTTTTTTCTACCCCTTGTCTAGGGTAAGGCACGCAGATGCCCTTTTCTTACAATTTGAACTTTTCTTCGTAAACAATTTTCTTGGGATATTTAGAAGTCTGTATACCATCAAAAGGTAACCATCTTTTTTAGACATTCTAAGAAAACTTTAAGTTGGGATTACTGGGCTCTAAATGTCACACAGGGACACTAGCTTAGCTATCAAACAAGGTCTTAATCTATCAATGCCAAATCTCTAGGCGCAATCTCAGCTCATATGCTCCAATGAGGACCAAAATTACTTCTAATATCGTAATCAAAGCAGAGTCTCAACCAACTAATGTGTATTTACAAATATATTTTAAAGTTTCAAAAGAACCTTCATTTTACCAATTTACTTCACGATGCTAAAAATATAACGCAATGAACACAACACAATACTTTATTGATAAGAATAGAAATAAATAGCAAACGTTTAAATCACCGCTGCAATGGCAGGAATCATTTTCATTGCGAACTGCTTGTATAGACTAGCCTCCTGTCCTAATCTTTCCTGATGCAGTTCGATGAACCCACATCATCCCTAATTCAGGGAAACCCAGGGACGCTGTCGGTCACCAAGTTTGGCAGGGTTCTATAGCTATATACAAAAGAGTTAATACATTGTCTTTTTTACAGGCAGGACTACTTGCAATCCAGGCCTAACTCCAGGTCACTATGAGGACTTTAGGGTTTACATCAATAAAACTATCCATCTTAGCTCTGGGTCTGTATGAGGACTGAAGGGGTTACAATATGTGCAAATATATATTATTGTACAGGGTGTCCCAATATTATTATGTCTGCTAGAGTTTATTTTATAAAAACAGTAAATGGCTGTAAAGATGTGTCTATAATGTCTCCGCAAGATGAACAGTGAAGACGGACAAGTTTACTCTGTTTGTATACTGTAATTTTCTTGTTTATTAAGTACAACCGTATGCAGTCAAAACATAAACAAATTGTAAACATAGCAGACGAAAATCTTACGGATTAAAGCTTTCTCAGTAGGTATCACTATACTAAATCAAAGAATTTTTAAAAAGACGATATCGAATTCGTCACTGAATTCCCATGTTTATTGGGACACCCTGTAGTTAAGCTAATCACAATACGTAGCTAGTCTAGTCGCATTAAAAGTTTTGTGTATTTAAGGATTAATGCAGTTAGATTTATAAACAATGTACAACGCAATTTATATAGTTATGTTCAAACTGTATTCATTACACCTCTGTTTCCTCCGTGGTAATATTTATCTTGGGAATCCCGGCATCTATTATTAATAATGCAGGAGGAGCATAAATCACTTAACATGAACATTTTGTAATCATTCTGGATCAGTATCAGTATGGGTTAAATTAGAAGCATTTTCCCATAGTTCAAGTATCCATATGTGTCTTCTCCAAATTGCATGAACCTTTGAACTGTATTTCAGATCAAATATTCTAAGTTTAAAATATCAAAGATTTATACTATGACTTATAGAGAAAAAAGGGGTTTGATTAATAGAGTTAGATACAATCATTCATTTCCATAGTTTAAAAAATCAAAAGTTTACACAATAAGGTTATACAAATAAGGAAAATTGAGTTCTTTAGAAAGTACCAGGTCAATAATAAATAATAGTTTGTGATATATCTGATATCATTCCTTTAAGACATGGTGTCCTGGAGGATCTGGAGTTTCCTCTTGATTGCTGCCCTGGTATTAGGAGCACTGGGCCAGGAGCAGGATAATCCTGTACTGTACCGGACTGTACTACAGGCTGTACATCAGAGCACAGATTACGGCCGGGACAGGTGTATCACCGTTGGGGTAGATTTGAACCCAATAGATATAGAACAGTTACAGCTGAGTACCCAGTTTATACATGTTGACAGCGACAGTTTACTTCTTCTGACAGCTCTAATGAAAACTGCTTGGTGTACCAGGTTATGTAAAACTCTGATACCACTATATTTAAGTAATTAGTCATATTTAATATTAGTATTTTTACAAAAAGTAATTTTTTCCATAATTCAATCAATTTTTTAAAAATTTAACTGTTGCTGGCCTCATTAATATTGCTATATTATAACTTACTAGGCTGGGCGCTTCGCGCCCATCTTCTATTTAAATTGTGAACATGTTCTTTTTGTTTACATTTTAAAACAAAGAAGAAAAAAATTTTTGCGGATTTTTAAAAAAAAAATTCACGGATTTTCAAGAATTTAAATTTTTACAAAATTAAAAACCTTTAAAACACATTTTTTAAAATTTTTATCATTCATAAACCTTCCTTGTGGTCACATGATGTCCCACAAAAAATTTGGGCCCGATCAGTTTACCTGTTTTGACGTTTATTGGATACAAACAAACGAACAGACAGACAGACACCCAGACAGACAAGCCAAATTTATATATAGATAAGACTAATCCACTAGGTCCACATATGAACCCACATATTCCAGGTGTGGATCTACCAAGTCCACATTTCTAATTTTTTTATATTTTAGCTTTGTCTCACGTAATATTTCAATAATAAATACAATAGAGGATGTTTGTTATTTCCCCAAGAAATGTCTAACAATTCTACTGGTGAAAGAAAGCTTGCCCTGGTTAGAAGTATACAAGTCTAATTTAATCAACATATTAATGGTATCAGGTTCAAATGTTAAAATAATGTGCCCCTATTGTGGAATAAAGATTCCCAAAATTGTTAACATTTGGAATAGAGAAAAGAGACAACTTGTATTTCCTAAAACTAAAACAGACTGCTGTGATCCCTTGAAAGGTAAAAAAAAACATTGAAAGTCTAAACATATTTTTTATATTTTGTTTTCAATCAGGAAAAACATTGGTAGCCAGAACCTTTATTGCTCTCAAGAAATCAGAAAGTCCATTAAATTATAACGGAACTGCTCGGATAAATGGAAAGGTGGTAGAATCAACTATCAGAGGACCCAGCTATGATGTATTTTACGAACTATCCAATTATCTAAACTTTGACATCAACATGGTGCAGACCAGCAAGTTCCTCTCTCAGGCGCAGGGGGTCGTGGATCAAGAGACAGATTTGGTGCCATTAGGACAAACAGGGTGGACCAGATACAAGGATTCATTTGGTTTCTTTGAAATAGGAAGGTTTGTTTGTTAAAGTTCCATGTTTCTTCAATGTTGCTTCAAATTTTATCTTTCATGGAAGGCACATACCCCCTTGCCTCCCTCTCAGTTACGATCCTGCCAAATGACTTTTTGGTCTGAAAAGCAATATCAATATTTGGACAAAATTTTTACTTTTATATAGATTAATTCCTTGAGATTGAATTGAAGTGATAAAGTTTCATTTTTACTCCATGGTAATAATTGTGTATTTGTCAGGTTTGGGGGTAAAATGGATTATCCTATGGTTTTAATATGCTCTAAGCCGCTCCCAGAGGTAAACAGAATTTATCCTATGGTTTTAATATGCTCTAAGCCGCTCCCAGAGGTAACTAAACAGAATTTATCCTATAGTTTTAATATGCTCTAAGCCGCCCCCAGAGGTAACTATACAGAATTTATCCTAAAGTTTTAATATGCTCTCAGCCGCTCCCAGAGGTAACTAAACAGAATTTATCCTATAGTTTTTATATGCTCTCAGCCGCTCCCAGAGGTAACTATACAGAATTTATCCTATAGTTTTTATATGCTCTCAGCCGCTCCCAGAGGTAACTATACAGAATTTATCCTATAGTTTTTATATGCTCTCAGCCCCTCCCAGAGGTAACAAATACTATACAGAATTTATCCTAAAGTTTTAATATGCTCTCAGCCGCTCCCAGAGGTAACTAAACAGAATTTATCCTATAGTTTTAATATGCTCTCAGCCGCTCCCAGAGGTAACTATACAGAATTTATCCTATAGTTTTTATATGCTCTCAGCCGCTCCCAGAGGTAACTATACAGAATTTATCCTATAGTTTTTATATGCTCTCAGCCCCTCCCAGAGGTAACAAATACTATACAGAATTTATCCTAAAGTTTTAATATGCTCTCAGCCGCTCCCAGAGGTAACTAAACAGAATTTATCCTATAGTTTTAATATGCTCTCAGCCGCTCCCAGAGGTAACTATACAGAATTTATCCTATAGTTTTTATATGCTCTCAGCCGCTCCCAGAGGTAACTATACAGAATTTATCCTATAGTTTTTATATGCTCTCAGCCCCTCCCAGAGGTAACAAATACTATACAGAATTTATCCTAAAGTTTTAATATGCTCTCAGCCGCTCCCAGAGGTAACTAAACAGAATTTATCCTATAGTTTTAATATGCTCTCAGCCCCTCCCAGAGGTAACTATATACAGAATTTATCCTATAGATTTTATATGCTCTAAGCCGCTCCCATAGGTAACTAATACTATACAGAATGTACAATGTCACTGCTAGGTGTATTTTATATGACTCGAATTGGAACTAATTTATTTGTGTGGGGGGGGGGGGCAATTCTGCACTTATAGCAATTTTTTTTTATATAGGGTTCAACAATTGTAAGATTTTTTCTTAAATCGTCATAAAACATTTTGAATACAAAATTTAATCTTTTAGTCTGCTGCCTGACGTAGAAAAAATCATGCCAATTAGATATTTTCATGCACTATCCAGGCATCAGGCAGTTGACTTGGGGCTTCAAAAGCATATGTTAGAAGAATACAAAATTAGGGGACTCTAACCTTACAGTTAAAAAGTTATGCAAAAAACACAAAATAAACTGGAAAAATTTATGTTTGACTTTGAACCTAAAAATGCACTTGGTTAGATTGCTTTCTAAATTAAAATTAGATTTTCTTTAAAAGAAATAAAATGCCACCAAAAACCTGAGATGGTTTCAAGGATTCCCAGTGTTAGTCCATTTTCTTAAAATCATAAAGCCATCACAATTAGCAAAGATTTGTGAAGTGGAAATTATCCAAACCATAAGCAAGGCAAGAATAATGGATTATATTTAGGTCAAGTTCTACAATCTTTTGAAACCGTTCTCTGTAACACTGTGGATTGGAGTTCTGATTGTTGGATTTGTTTCACCAATTCTGTTTTATATAATCCTTAAACTCAACTATATTGTTAGAAGACAGGAATACAAGGAAGACAGCGGATTGTTTTTCATTTTCATTGAATTAATATGTTCTGAAAGAAGGTAAGATACTAAGTTAAAATCTCTACATATAAAGTTATAATCTCTGTTTGTCGGTCTGTTTGTATGTCCAATCCACTTCACACTCCGGTTGATTTCAATCTTGTACCGGGCTGACTTGAATCCAGCTAGAGCAAGCTGTACAGTACAATAACAGACTATGTAAAGAAAACTAGGACGGTACGCTAAAAAATAAAAAATAAACCTTCTATTGAAATTTACGTGGTTCAGAACTAAGAATCCCTTAGACAGATTTGCCTGAAATTTTGATTGGGAACTAAGGAGAACCACGGGAATGTTTTTTGATTAGTTTTGAGATTCTAAGTTGAGTATAGGTCTATTCTTAAAGGAAATAATAGCTAAAATTGTAATTTACAACCAAGCGGCAGCGCAGGTAAACGGCGTGGCGGAAGTAACAATGAGTACTCTGGGGCCAAGGCAATGCAGAGTTATCAATCTAGTTATAATAAAATAATCTATACTTTATATTGATTAGAGACACAGAAGTTTCTGATGGAGTAAAACTGTTCACCACTGGATTGGCATTATTTACATTTTTTATTGTGTCGGCCTTTGGATGCAACCTACGAGCCTATCTTGTAAGTTATCTAGTCAGTTCAAACAGCATTAGAGTTCTCAGATTATTATAGATTTATGTATAGGCAGCATTTCTTCTCCATATCCTAGTAAACTCTAGCATTTGATTCAATCTTAATTGTATCAACTATTGCGGAAGAAGTTTTCCAAAATAATTTTTAGAACATGCAAAGTTTGTTAATGAATGAATTTGTGCTAAGACTAGATACATTTCAACCACCTTTTCTTGAATTGGTGATTCATGATTTGTCATTTGTCCATGTCCTGATGGAGAACACTCCACGGTTGTAAGTAGTCATCAACGACAGTAATAGTTCAGCAACCTAGGTGAAATTCAAGTCCCAGATATATGTAATTGCACGGCGTTATCTTCATTCTTTTAGGAATACCCTTTAAAGGGAGTGACCGGCAATTTATGGTGGTTGAACTGAGATTGCAGTATTGTAGACAATTCTTTTCGGATTCATTTGAGACATGTAAAACGTTTGAAAGATCCATAATAACTGAGTTTGATGGCAAAGTCTACGTTCAAAATTATTAATTTGGGTGGACACGTTTTGAGAATAGGTTTTTTTTAAATTATTAAATATTAACGACACAAAATGTAACAAAAATTCTACATTAAACTTATAAGTTGTTTAGGAACAGGCTAAAACAATAAAAAATAGCTCTTATCATAGAAAAATAATTAATTTTATTCAATTATTACTTTCTGTGATCTCTCATTATTCACAATTATTTGCTGCAGATTTTTTGCAGATTCTCTGGAATTTCTTTTAAAAGACGACATTTGAAGAATTTTAAGAAATCTGCGAACAAACTCATAGAAAATAAGAAATTCAATATAATGATGAAAACAAAATAACTGATTCTAACTTTGATTTATTGATAAAGTTCTTATGAGAAATATGTTCCTAAAATTCTATTTAGTTTACTATAGAATTTTTAGAGTAATTTTTGTCGTCGTTATTTTGTAATAAAAAAATCAATTCTCAAAACGTATCTACTCAAAAAGACGATTTTGAACGTAGACTTTGTGCTCAAACTCAGTAATTATAGATCTTTACAACGTTTTATATGTCTCTAATGAATCCTAAATAATGTGACCACAATACTACATACTCAGTTCAACTACTATACATCGCTGTTCAATCCCTTTAAGCTTATTTTTTTCTCATTCAAATCAGATATTTTTAAAGGGTTGAATTAGCTCTTTGATTAATCTGGCTCTTGTTTCAGTTTCACTTATTAATAAAAAAACAACTTCACCTTTCATTGTAGGTTGTTGAGGACTATGAGAGGCCTATAGACTCTAATTGTAGGTTGTTGAGGACTATGAGAGGCCTATAGACTCTCTGAATCAGCTGATTTATGAATCAAAAAAAAACCTTGTTCTCAGAACAGACCGAGGATGGGCTCAAGAGCTCGAGAAGTCATTTCAACTACTAGGTTTCAACTATAAATGTGTTGCAACCCACCACTTACACTCCCACACATCCTGTACTCAATCAAGATTTTTATTTTAAGCATAAAGTACATATTGCTGTGTATGTTTAATTTAAAGTAAATTTCAATGTCCACCCATTAAAACAAAATATCTAATCTTTAATGTTTTATAATGGAAAATGGGAAAAAAACCATCAGGTGAAAAATTTATTTTTAAAAATGTCAAAATATAAAAAAAAATTATGAAAAAAACTTTGTTATTTATTGAAGACATGTCAGGCTGAGGTGAGAGGAAAAAGAAAATCAGAATTTATTTTTTAATAATTTTCGGTTTTAAAATATTCAATTTTATTTTAGACTCAATGAGTCGGTTAGTGGATACAAATATGCCTGGCAATCTCTCCTTGATCAATAGAACTCATTGTATTTCTCATGCAGAGTGGACAGTAAGCTTCTTTTCAAAGCTAAACTAATTTTTATTCTTACTTTTAGACTTTTTTGTTTTTATTTATTTTTGTTGATACAGGTTATGTAACTTTTATCTCATTAATTACTATATAATATCTCTTTTTATATATTGCCTTAGAAATTAGGTAAAATTAGATTAAAAGATGGAAAATTATAATCAAATACGAGTCCAGACTCCAGAGCTGGGAACATAATTGTATCGTAGATATTGAGATCAATGCTTGATCTCAATCTTTTGTTAATCTGCAGATTAATTTATTCTGTATTTGATATATGCAGCATAGTAAGCCTATCCTAAAGGGAAAACTGGAATGAAGAGTTTATTGATCCTCAAATTAAAGCCCCCAGAATGAATTTCAAGATCATGTTATCAGGATTATGAGTATCCCGTCTTAGAGCTGAAAACTTTAGAATGAGATATCCCTTATCCTGATCGGTCGATTAATCTGGAGATTAATAACAAGTGGAGACCAAGCATTATTTAATCTGGCGATTGAGAAAAAGAGGAGATCCACAGTTCTAAAGTTTTCAGTTCAGAGGCCGAATTTAAAGAATTTGTATTCGATTTTTCAAGATTTAAGCCGGCGCTCAATTGAAACCGGGTATTGGCAGATTTAAGCCGCGGCTCAAATTAATTAAATTCGGACACTGGTTAAACTTCCTGATTAGTTGACTGTATTGTTATTCATGTTTCTGTATTCTAAGGCCTTGGATTCAATTCGTCAAAGTGTTCTTGACTATGGAACACCTCAGTATAGAATTGCTAAGACTCCGTATGTGTTTGAATCAGGGAACTGCTATTATGCCAGGTTGGAAAACAAATGACTATTTAACTACTCAATTTGATGAAAGTTAATTTTAAAGTAAAATAATTTAAAAATAATTCACGTTATCATTTCAAATATTTTTGATCCAACAATTAAGCCATTTAATTTTGAAAGTTTTTTTAAATCTATCAACATTTTTTGTAAAACTTGGACAATTGTTGCATCAGTTACAAATAGTGATATTAAAAGAATTAATTAATGCTCTTTCAGCTTTGTTTTGTTCAGGAAGAAAAATCTATTTATGGAGACTCTTGAGAACAGAATGTTAGATATGGCAGCATTTGGTATCATGGATAAACTAAAATCTATCAGTGTTCCAGTTCCAATTAATTATGTTTCTGATGAACCTTTAAATCCTCTCACCCTGGAACATTTCTTCCTTTCTTTTGTGTTCCTTGCAGGAGGTCTAGCCACAGCGCTGCTTGTTCTCTTTCTAGAGTGTGTCGTGAACAAGAAACAAAATAAATAGTTTATCTAAAAATACATTTTTTTTCAACTTATACACCAATCACTTATTGATGTTGATGTTGATTTTGATGGTCATGATAAGATAAATGTTGATGATGTTGTTGTTGATATTGATTTTGATCAGAATTTTGAATGTTTATTTTTTTATTATATAGAAATTGATGTTGATGTTGTTTGGGTTGCTGTTAATAACGATAGTGATAGGGTTAAAGTAAAATAAAAGCTTTGTTAGGACTCAAAGAAGTTCGGAGTAAGATTTCGATTCTACTGGAGACCACCGGAGGGATTTCATTTTCACTGCAGGGTTTGAAAAGTCACTTTTTTCCATTTGAGCTTTACACATGTTGATTTACAATCCACTGGAGGGATTCAGATATCTTTCCAGAAGTTTATAATTCCACTGGAGGGATATCTAAATCTGAATCCCTCCAGTGGATTTATAAACCCCCTGGAAAGATATCTGAATCCCTCCGTGGAACTATCAACCCCCTGGAAAGATATCTGAATCCCTCTAGTAGAATGTAAATCACCTTGCGTAAAGTTTTAAATGGTAAAAAGCATTTTTTCAAACCCCTCCAGTGAAAATGAATTCCCTCCAGTGGTCTCCAGTGGAATCAAAATCTTACCACAAACTTCTGTGAGTCCTATGTGAGTTGGAATAAAAAAACCGATTACTAAAACTCAAATTTATCTTTACTTGATATAATGTAACTTCATGTTCTGATAGAATTTATATTTTGAAATATTTAAGGACTACATTGCAGGTTTGAACATGCAAAGATCCAAAGAATAAGAAATTTGAGTTTGTGGCAAGTGTTCATTTCCCTCTTTGAGAAGCTTAAAAACTTATTTTTTTCTTAAAAACTGATTCAGTTACAATACTTTAAGGATTATTTTTCTCAGGGTACGTTTATGTAACTAATAAGATTTCAGGAAAGTTTGGTATTTTGATTTTACATGAAGGTGTATCCCATTCATCCAGAATTTTTAGTCTTATATAGACGAATACAATGAATCAAATTTAACATTACAAACAACAATAATACATGTTTTTATCTTCATTAAAAAGCCTTCATAAGGCAGTTCAAAGCATACATTTTTTTAATGCAAATTAAATTATAAAAAGAACACAATGCTTTTTATAAACCTCTTTTGACTAATTACAGAACTGAAAACCTTAGAATTGGATACCTTTAATCCTGAACACTTGATCTGAAAATCCATTGTGGACACTTTTGATTTCTACCTAATCTGCTCTTTTTGGATATCACTACTTTGTTCCGACCAATGAGAGTTCTCTCATGAGTTGTGGGTTAGAATTTAAAAATTTATCAGCTCCTGATTGGCTGTTCGGCTTTCTCCAAACGCCCATTGATTGGTTGAATATTTTACAACTCTCTGGATACAAACTTAGTTAAAATTAATCTTAATATTAATAAAAAAATGAGATTAAGTCAATCAAGCATTGATCTCGGTACCCATCGCCCCTTATTCAAACCATAGATTTATCATGCAAGTTAAATAATATTGAAAAAAAGCTATTTTTAAACCTTTTTTAATTATTTGTTCAGAGCTGAAAACTTTAGAATGGTGGATATCAAGTTTAATGCTTAAACTCCTGGTTTTACTAAACCCAAGATTATTTTAAAGCGCATTCGATATCCAAGAAAGAAGTTTAAAATTTAACCAATCAGCGTGCCATGTTAAGATGTACTCTTTAACTTTTGAAAAACCGGTTTTGATTTCTGGTGTTGATGGTGTCTGCATTTCAATTTAACTAACATTGATTGAACGAACGTAAGTTTTGGATTAATGTTTATTAAGACTAACGTTCAAAAGTACAATAGTCCTAAAATGTTTTTTTTTATTATTTCATCTAAACATGATTAAAGGAATTGCTTTTTGCCACAAACTCAAATCTTCGGATCCCTATATCTATGCAACCTGATGGTGCACACCTTTGATATTTCAAACCTACATTAATTGATCTAGAATAATTCTTAGTTTGAAATATCTAAGGTGTACAACATTGAGTTACAAAGAAATAGAGGTAAGGAAATCAGAGTTTGTGACAAAAACTCAATTCCTTTATTTTTGTTTGAATGATCTAAAAGTCGGCTTGTTAACAGCAGCAGACTTTAATTTAATCGGATATTGGTCCAATCGATGTAGCATTGTATCTGTTATTTTATCAAACGTTTAACTTTTATACAGTAAAAATATCCAAAAAGAAGAATTCAAAAGTGTGTACATTGGATACTCAGATTAAGCGATCGGGATTAAGGATATCTCATTCTAAAGCTTTCAGCTTTGGTTATTTAATGTTTATACTTTAATTAGATTGATGTAACAGAAAGTTAATTTCTGCCAATATAATTCTGAAATATAGAACTCCGATATCCCTTTATGCAGACATTGTTTGGAATTCAGGACAAACCGTTAAGCAACAGGAAGGGTTTAATAAAATGCAATTTCTGTCTCAAAATGTTTAATTTCTGTGTTTATGTCACTAAATACATACTCGAAATGTATGAAAATTTGACCTGGAACCAAATTTAAAGAACTAGCCTTAGAAATTAATTGTGAACATATTCTCTTTGTGTACATCGTAAAACAAAACAAAAATAATTCGCGGATTTTCACAAAAAATTTCGTGGATTTTCAAAATTTTAAAAAATTTAATGAAGATCGAATCTTGATGGAGACAAATATTTAAAATTTCAATCATTCATAAACCTTCCCTGGGGTCCCCAGATGTCCCACAAAAAAAATTGGGCCCGATCGGTTCAGCCGTTTTGACGTTTATTGGATACAAACAGACAGACAGACACCCGAACAGACAGACAAGCCAAATTTATATATAGATTTGGCCCGCAGCTTAAATTTGAAACTCGGCTCAATTATGGTTGGTTCCACTTAAAATTTTATTCTATGTTTCAAGATTTAAGCCGGCGCTTAATGTAAACCGGTTTTTGGTGGATTTGAGACGTAGCTCAAATTCATTAAATTCGCACTCTGAATAGTTTGTTTCTTAAATACATTTTTTTTCATAATCAGAGTAGAAAAATTGTGAGTGTTTTTTTTATTCCAGAATACAAATTTTATCAAAGTAGTAATAAAGAGTATTGAATACTGAAAACTGTCCACTCTATTTCAAAATTATTTGGTAACTGTCCAGAATGGAATGATTTGATTGGTTAAGCAGAACAGATCACTAGAAACCCAACCAATAAGAAATGAGAGTTTTTGGAAAATGTTTTTATTTTCAAATAAGTGTAGAGCTCAGGCTGCATAGATAAAAATTAGAATCTTAGAGTTAAAGACAAGCGTTTAATTCTAGAAGGATTGCTCATTCTAGATAAACCTCAGTTTAAGGAAAATTAAGACTCGCCTAGAATTTGTATTTACTAATTTCTACGAAAGTTTTAAAAATAAAACACAGAAAATACGATAAAGATTTGATAAGCCACAAATAATTTGTTAAAAATTTGTTGGTTTTAAGTAAAAGAAATAACTGCCCCTTCTCTAGATCTTGATAAAGAAACGTTACATAATTAATTTCAATTTCTGGCTTCAGTTTCTCTCAAAATAAGAAGTGGGGGAGGTGGGACTTTGGTAAAAAGTATTCAATACAATACAGTGAATACAAATCTAGGCCTGATCCCCCCCCNAGTTGGGTATTTTCTGGTGACATGGGGGAGGGGGTTTTTGTCACAATATTCCTCTTAAAATGCATTTGTCTTGTGTTTCATGGTGATAATCTTTTCAATTACAAACACTATATCTATTGTAGCTTGGATTAAGTTTTAATGATTTCTATTCATGATTACTTTTCCCGTTCATATATTTATCCTTGAATGGATCCTGTAATCCCGCAATATAATTAGATGTCGTCTTTGTTACAGCGAGCTTTTTGGAAGAAAAAGATATATTTTATAGCAAAAGCACATGAAAGCACAGGGGTTTCGGGATAATCTAAATAAATAAATAGATTCTAACAGCCAAATAGAAAAGATTTAGGGGCTCCAGTAGCACCCCAAAACCTTTGTGTAGTCAGAAAAGCGTGTCGAAAAATCCTATTTTAAGAGTTTTCAATGAAATAGCGGGTTTTCGGTCGAAATTCTTAACTAAAACATAACATTTAAACAACCTAGAGACTTCTCAAAAAAAAAAATCTTAAGCGGCCATGTAGTAAATACCCTACTCCAGAATGGTTTCCCTAACCCGTATCTTTCCAGGTACAATCCAGTTTCACTCAGCTATCAATGTCTAAACCCGGATACAATCTGGTTAACTATCAATGTCAACCAGGACATGAACTCTTAATCGATAAACGCCACTACAACTGGGCACGATCTCATAAACTATCAATGTCTCAACTAGGACATGATCCTCAACCAGAGGGTCCGATTATTCTCTCTCAGTATGGAGTCTTTATATTAACTTGATATTTTTCTTCAGCTTGGATTAGAATTGGGTTTTAATAGCTTAATGCTCTGTTATATATAATGTAGTTAAGCAATTAAATTATGGGTTTGACAGAGTAATATAAATCTACCTATATTAATTGGGTTAATTGCAATGCATGATTTACGTATTTACTAATGGGCACATTAAGCTATATGTCCCCCCCCCCCATCCTCTAAAAATTGCTATATTTTCCCCTGCAATGGTTCTACCGCCTTTAATCGTCTATTTACTGAACCGCCGAACTGAACAGATATAAATGATGTTACATTAGAGAACGTCTGGTTTAAGTTTAAAGGAATATTTCTTTTACTATTTTCCATTTCTGATTGGATCAATTTGTTCCAACCATCTGTCTTTATCTTTAAATCTTTTCAATTTTTTCCAAGGTTCTAAGATTATTCTCATACTAGGAAACAAGGAAACCTACCTAAATCACCCCATATAGAAAACTAAGAAAGCTATCGTACTTACCCCATATAGAACACAGAAAAACCATCGTAATTACCCCATTTAGAACACAGGAAAACCATC